CCGAGGCCAGCTTGAGGCTGGGACATTGTCTTCTATTTCTGGATAATTCTATAGAACTACACACACCGGGCCACAGAGAAGAAACTCTCTCCAACTGTCTATACATTCCTTCCAGTAGAGGCCTGGGAGAGTTTATAAGGAGTGCGAGTTTCTCCTTGAGGCTTTTATGAATAAAGTCATCATCTCTACCCACCAGGAGCCATCAGACCAAAATCAGACCAACTACCCTACAACTGGGGGGCCCTTTCCCAGATCTCAAAGCTCAATATACTTCTGTGCTTCCAGTATCTTTCCTACTTTTCTATTTTCCTGGCTAATGATCCTGAAGCACAGAGAGAAACGTGTTGCGTGCCTCAGAGCACGCTGATGTTGTGCCTCAGTCCAGGCCAGGTTACACGCGGCTCTGTGATGAGTGGCCCATTCTGCAACGACGACAGTGATTCTCAGCCCTCACCGGGCACTGGAATCCCCTGGGGAACTTCCAACTAAAAAATACTTATTCTTGGGCCTCATGGCAGAGATTTGGATTCAACTGGTCTGGAACGGAGCCTAGGAATTTATATTTTTAAAAGATGAGCTAAAAAAAAATTTCTTTTAAAAGTGATTTTAATGCACAGGCAGGATTGAGAATCACCAATTTAATGGTTAAGAGGAGGAAAAAAGATAGACAAGAGTATGTGGTGGTCTCTTTAGGGTGACCTGTAAAGCGTTAGAGAGCCATTGGAAATTTAGGAGCAGCGGGGTGACACTAAGCAGAGAGGAGAAAACAGAAAAGCATTCGTCACGCGCTGAAAAGCCAGGTAATGTAGACAATGACATAAATAAAAGGGGCAGAGGGAGGAAACTGCCATCAGACGTGTGACAGCCGAAGGGCCACCGTTAGGGATCGGCCAGACAGGACATAAATGGAAACCAGCCCTTGGTCTTGTCTCCATTCTCTTCCCTTTCCCATTAAAAATGGGCCAAGTGCTGATCTCAGCATGATGTTAGCGTATCTACTCTCAAGAATAAAGCTGAGCTTCGCATACTAGGCTTTATTACTTTGGTCCAGAATTCCCTTAATAAAGGTTTCAGGAGATGTCTTTACAAAAACAGGCTACAGGTATAATAACTATCACCTTTAAGAGCATGGGCTCTTTGTGTGAGAGAATAATCATCCCAAATTTCTGATAGAGTACTACCCAAAAGTCCTGGGGCGGTGACTTTTTTAAGAACACATTATGATAATAACCAGTTTTGGAGAGTGGAATGAAACAGCTGTTCTTAATCTCTATTTGTGGAACTGTAAGTTGGGACAAGTTTTATGAAAATTGGATAATGTGTGCCAAGAGCTTGGAAATAATTCATATTTTTTAATTTAATGCTGTTAAATCTATTCCTAAGAATAATCAGAGAAGTGGTATTATGTAGTTTATTATATAAAACATATAATACCATATGGTTGCCATGTAATATTGAAAATTTAGAAGTAGCCAAAGTAAATGTCCAACAAAAGGGAACTAGATAAATATATTTTGGTACCTCATTAAAGCAGAATATGAGGAATTTATTAAAACCACACCTTCAAACAATATTTAATATATTAGAGAATGCTCATATATATTTTAAGTGAAAAATGAAATGTCACGAGCACTTTTTAGTGGGAACTTATTTTTTTAGTATATATTACAAATATAAAAACATACCTGTATTGAGGAAAATATGGTGAAATGTTCATAGGGTACAGTATTTTTTTTTCTTTTCCCACAGTTCCTCCTTTTTTTTTTTTTATAATAAGCTTACATTACTTTTATGATTCTAAAACATACTAAAATGTTTTGTTTTTAATATACGTGGAGTGTCAATGGAAGAATTTTTAAAATATTACCAGACTTTCTCCTTTATGAGTTAAGGACAATCACTTCTGAAAAGGTTTCTGGATCCATACCAATTTTTTAAAAAATACCAATTTCTTGACCCTACGAAGAACTTTCTGACTCTGCTGGACTCTCGCCATTTGTCCCTTATCCAGATTATTGTGACTTGGAATGCTGACAATCACCAGTCATATAATCCTAAAACGTCTGTAGAGGGTACAGTGTGCTCAGCAGAATATTCATGCTCTTTCTCAATGATCATTTCTGTAACAGTTTTCAGAGTCAAGGTCAGCAAGTAAAGAAATTGTGAGGAGTTATGACCACTGAGTCCTTGGGGCTCCACAAACCATCAAATACTATGAGGCACGTGGCACCATGGCTCTTTAACCTTAGAAGATCTACTTTGGGATTCAAGACCAGATCCGGGGTCGTGATGGACCAGAAGTCTCCCCGCCCCGCCAGGCCAAGATTCTAGAGGAATCCTAGGACTGGTTCTTCTCTAGCACGGTGCAGGATATTCTACATGTCTTAGACTGAAGAGGACAGGCTTATCAACCTCAGAGAAGACCTAAGGACTTGGCATGAGAACAGGAAGTGGCCTGATTTGTGCAGGTCAACCTCCATAGGCCAGCTCTTAACGGCCCCTCCTCGGTCCAACCAGAGTTGAATATGAGTAGCTCCCTGATCAGGTTTCAGGCTGGGTACAGTAAGGCACTGGAGGGCACAAGCTTGTCATGCCATTTGCTCCATGGTATTATACCCAGCAGAAGTCATGGGCCCTTTTCAACGTCCATCTCTGGAGCTCAAATCTGTCAGCTAACAGGTGGCTACCTGATCCAGCAACTAGTTCTCAGAAGGTAAAAGGAAGCAGGTACAGCCACGGGTCAGTGAAGGAAGTGTGTGGCACGCCTCTCGCTGGGCCCCTCAGAGCGCTCTCTCAGGGCACTGTGACACTCAGCCAGGAAACAAGACCTACCTCGTAGGAAGTTCTGATGAGTCTGAAGATGTCCACCTCAGGGTAAGGCTCCACGTCGTCACTGAGCAGGGAGTGGAGGTGAGGAATGGGAGGCAGGGTGCTGTCCTTATTGGTCACACTGTCTAAATACCTGGACGAGAAATGAATCAGAAGTCATTAGGAGGTTCATCTGGGATTCTCCCATTATAGATCTCTACAAACTCTGCATTTGAAAACAAAAGACTAGAATTTCCTTAAGAACCGTTTGGAAACCCCTAACTTCTGAAGACAAAGAGATGCAAATAAATTCTCAGCCACAGAGAGAAGTGGGCATAACGGTTACCACCAGGCCAAATAAGACTCATGAAGTCAAGAAGACAGACAAATGAAAGTACAGGGAAGAACCCGGAGGTGGTTTTCAAGGAGCCTTAGTGCGCTACCTTCCCAAAACGGTCATGGCCTCCCCGTCGTCCTTGCAGTTCAACAGTTTGTCCACGTTTGCATCCAGCACGGCCAGGGCCAACTGGAATATCACCTTGATTCCTTCATAGAAGAAACAGTCGACAACCACAACTGCACTCTCAAAAGGCATCACGCTGAGAAACAGCGTGAGGAACCAAGACAGAGAGATGGTGGAAATCACGCCCAGGTCCTGCATGCAGTCGTACAGCTGCGGGACGTAATCTCGCGCCAGTTCCTCGAACACGCCCTGGTCCACCAGGGCACCTGCAGCGGGGAAGACACACAGAGCCCCGGGTGAACCACCCACACCTCTCACCAAGGCACCCGATCACGTGGCTTGACTAAAACAATCCAGTTCACAAATGCTGTTGACACAGAGCTCTGCTCCCTTCTCTAAACTGTTCTGCTTGTTATTATGTTTCTAGACCAAAGTGTCACCAGATTAGTTCTGGCCGCATCTTCCTTTTTAGGGGTCTCCCTGTCCTGCTTTCCACACCATAAAAAGCAATAAAATTACAACTGTGAGGGTTGTTGAGAGCGTCAGTTTACAAAGACTGCATGACATACAATCAGTTATTCCGCTGGCAATGCAATGTTTGGTTAGGCACAAAATGTGTATCTTAGCTCCATTTCTTGGCCAGCTCTTATTTTAAAAAAATCACTCATCTGGATGTGTGGTCCCCACACATGAATTGTTTTTTTAAATGACTTTTTAAAACTTAAAGCATTCCAGCTGTACACATTCATGACCAATTTACTGAGTTTCCTGGAGGATATTTTCAATGAATCAAAGCCCAGTGCAAAGGTTTAGAAATGCAGACAGAACACAAAAAAGGAAGCATAAAGCATGTAAAAAAAAAAAAAAAAAAAGCAAGGAAAAGCTTGTCCTGCTAAAATGAATGTTTTTACACTTGAGGGGAGAATAAGAAGTAATAGCAGTAATTTGTTAAAATGCTCACAATCGTTGTTTGCTTTACAATGAAACCAGTTCTGAAAAATGCCTTAGAGACTTAGTTCTGGATAAACCATTAAACGCTCTTTCGTCCACTCCAGTTAGTTCTTTTTTGAATACTATTGCTTTCCACAGATTCCAGTCTCTCCATGAAATACATTTTTTGTCAAAAATTGGGTTGATGGTGAGCTTGGTGTAGCTCTCACATGTCACGGAGCGACACCCATATCGAACGTTTTCTAAATGGATTTCTGTAACAGTGATACACGTGTGCTCTCCTTAGTTCCACGGGGCTCCTTAGCATACGGTCTACATTGATTCGAGCGCTCTCATTCCCATTTTGGAAAATTGGGAGTAGTGCGAAACTCTTGACTCACGGTGACTGGAAACGGTGTTCCAGCTCGTATCATGGCTCTAGAAACGTCGGCTTGTTTAGATGTGGATGAAAATGTTAACTACACCCTCACATACCGACAACTCGGGTGTTGTAGTAATCTGGAAGCATCCGCTCGCACAAAGCCACCAGCAGCCAGAACGCTTCCTCCTCTTTGGCATAAAGCAGCAGCACTGATGTGACAATATTCATGGCCTAAAGGAATGAAAAGGATGTCGTCAGACACATGTTAAAAAATAAGCAATTTATTAACCTAAGGAATCACTGAGCTAGTCTCATGGGGGTCAGCAACTTTTTTTCTGTAAACAGGTAGATAAAAAACATTTAAATGCTTTACAAGCTACACACATATTCTTTCGAAGAGTTGTTTATAATCCTTTAAAAATGTAAAAACCCTTGATCCTTGAGCCTGCAACTGTTAGGGTCTCTCCTGGATCACCAATATTCACCAAGCCGGAGACCAGCAAACCCTTGTTCAAAACACTGCCCAAAGGCTATTTGACAAAGTTTTAACCTGCTAAATTCTCAATGTTTTAATCCTTAATTCAGTGAGGCAAATCCTTTTTAATCTACCATAATGGTGGTTCCTATAACCCAGTACACATGGTTGAGGCTCTCCTCAGAGAACAATGGACCCTTTTAAACTTAGACCTACACTTAGAAGCTAGCCCATTATTTCTGTCTGGATAAGCAAGGTAGTGATAAGTACCAGTGACTTAAATTCCAACTTTCTTTATTAAAAGATATTATCAGATAGCTCACAAAGATACTCCAGGATCAACTCATTTAATAGTCCTCTTAATTAAAAAGGGGAAGATCAAATGATAAATATGAACTCTATTATATCAAAAGCCAACTGACTCCTGTACTTGTTTGATCTTTTAGAAACCAGTAATTGTTCATCAGACTTCGGCAATATAAATGTCAAAGAGGAATTTTTGTCTAATAGGCTCTCTCTTGTAAGTCTTACTCAGTATTTTCCCAAGTAAAATCATTACTAAAATTCCACCTGAGAATTAACAAGCCAATTTTAGTACATCACACGAGCATAGTCATCATCTAGTCAAGATAAGTTTTTTAAGAGTCTGCTTCGTAACAGCCTCTGGACCAGGTATTGGGGGATGGGAAGGAGGGAACACAGTGGTGACAAGTCTTGCAGGGCTTAAATACTGGTGTCAGAGATAGAATAAAGATGGAAAGGTTAATGAATCAACTTTTTGGTATATTTAAGTGCTATCAAAAAGATAAACTAATGTAGTACAGGGAGATCTGTACCATGTGTGTGTGTGTGTGTGTGTAGGAATTAAGCCTGCTTCGGCTTTTAGCGGGATGTTCAGGGAAGGCTTCTCTGAATATGTGGCCTTTAAATCTAAAGGTCACGTTATTTTGGAGTGTCCCCAGTTGTGGTATATTTACTAGTACAAGAGATAACTTTAGCTGGTATGTGGGCAACATTTTTATAGTCAATTAAGCATTTATGTTAATGTCCATTAAAATATAATCATAGCATGTAAAAGTTATATTCTCAAGGACATTATTGCATAGGAGAACGCAAAGCAGGAGCACTGTGGAAGCCAGGGTACAGAATTGAAGGCCTGGTGCCCAAGCGTGCTCTCTGTTGCCTCGTGGAGGGATGAGGGGTGGACCAGAGAGTGACTGGAAGTGACTCTCCAAGGTCACCCAGCTAGGCAGGGGTGGATCCAGAAAGGGCACTCCTGGCTCCTGCCCGGTACAGCGGTCCTCAACCAGGGAGCATTTGCTCTGCAGGGTAAATTTGGCAAAGGCCTAGAGACGTTCTGGTTGTCATGACTGGGAGGTTCTACCGGCATTTAGTGGGCAGCTGCTATGAAACGTGTAATTAAACAGGAAAGTTTTTAAGCATCCTACAGAGCTCAGGACAGCCCAGCACAACATCAATAGTGCCAAGGTCAAGAAATCCTGGTGTAGTGATCGCTCTGCTAACCATAAGCCTTTCTTCTTATTCACTGGCTACTAAGACTTTTTTTTTTTTTTTTTTAAGTATATACCACCTGTGACATTTACCTGGCAATACCCTATGTTAGGATTTCGAAAAGCGTAAGCTGTTAAGACTCTCCTCAGAGCAGCGATGCCCATCTCATTCTGGAATGCTGGGTGTTCCGGGAGGGAGCGGTGTAAGTCTCTCTCGATCTCCTCTGTGGCGAGATTATACTTCCCCATGGACTTCTCCACCAAGTCCTCGTAGTACCCCGGGTGTGTGGCTTTCTCGTTGATGGCACCTGGGAAAGAGCCAACAGACACGACATCAAAATGCGAAAGCCCTGTGCTTACCTGCCGAAGCTCTTCACTTTCCCGACTCCTCGAAGGACCTGGGACACAACAGTGAAACCCCACAGATGATGGGATGCGCCTCTTCCCTCTAGGCACCACAGTAAGCCAGCTCTTTAAATCCTTGCAAGGTGGAGGTCTTCGCGCTGAAAACCCGTATGCTGAAGAACTTCCCGCAGGCCATGCCGAGGGGCCGCTTGTGAGCAGAGGACGGCGGTCAGCAGAGCAAGCCTAGCTGAGGCCTCAGCCCTCCCTGCACACGTGGCAGCTCTGTTCTTATTTCAGTGGGGCTCTCCTTAAGAGTTCACTTGAATGAGGAGTCTGCCTCTCAAAACAAGTTTGAAAACTGCTAGCTGAAGTGTAAGCTCTGAAGGACTTCAATAGCCACATTGAAGAGTAGGAAGCCATATGAAGAGGAGGTAGTAGGCTATGTGGAGGGATTTATTAAATTGTAGAGGTGGGGAGGGTGTTCCCAGCAGTGACCAGCCGCTGCTGCTCTCGGTGGTGGCTCCTCAGGGGTGGGCATGGGGATGGAGAGGGAGGCGGAGCATCACTGCTTAGAGATAATGACGTTTTAAGATTCTTGAAGACAGAAAAACCCTGTATACAAATATCTAAATCTAAATACAATTATATATAATTTGTATAAGTATGAATTGTACATTCTTACGTTATATAATTTATGAGTATAAACTATATACACACATATGTATATATTACTTAATGTGTATTTATTTATTTACTTATTCACATTTCACTGTTTAGAAATTGGAATCCCTGGGCTGACCTAATCCTTGCCCCTGAAGGTCACCGAGAGAGCCAGCCTTACCACTAACACTTGCCCTGAAAAAGACAGTCTGGCTGACGACAACTTATCATTGGCTTTTGCTTTGCGATCAAGGGAGATTTGCAAGGATTCTTGCCATTTGGCCTGTACTTTCCTTCAGTGGGTACACTGAGCCAGGCCCCGGTGCAGAGGATGTAAGGGTCATGAGAGGCAGGGCAGGACCAGGCAGGGCACCCCCACCCTCCCCAGCAAGCTGGCCTCCATGCGAACCCCAGCCCCGGTGAGCTGTCTGGAAACTGAGGCTCAGTTATCTACACAACGAAAGCAGCGTACAGCCTGCTTCACCCTCTGCCCCGCTGCAGTCCATCAGGGTTCAAAAAAACACTGAGTCTGACTCTAAACATCTCTGCGACAGGACAGCATGTTGCTCTCTGCTATTTCCTGGTGCTCATTTTGAGTTTCATTTTCATCTAAAATGTGCTAGAAATAACTTCTAGTATGAATAAGGAAGATAAAAATGGAATTTTTTGTTTACTCTGCCAGTAACGTGCATCAGGTTATCAAAGTGACCAGTTTGCCAAAACACTAGGGAGACAAGACTGGAAGGTGAGGATTATCTTGGGCTGGATTTGTATTTAGGGATAATTTGACTCCAATCTGGGTTTCTAAATGAAGAGCTATGGCTGGTCTACATATGGAAAATGAAAAACGAGACACATAAATGAGGATAGAACAAACTAGTTTTATATTAAACAGATAAAGCCAATTAATTTTCAGGAATCTATCACCCTACTTCTGAGATGTTAACACACCTCGTTATTGGCAATTCCTATTTACATCTACTTTTATAAAGAGCTATGAGGGTTTTTTATATTTTATTTTTTTTTAAGGCTTTCCTTTAAGTCTGGAAATTCTCTTTTATAATTTTAATGTCGTTTTTTAAATGAAAGGCTTTCATAATAGCACTATCTAAAAATATTCTAAAAATATTTCACATACACCTATTGAGAATGATTACATTTCCAGCCTCTAGCCAAGCAGAGCAACTGACTGATCTATGAAGGACCAGTGACACCCCAAGGAACGCCCTGATGTCTCTGACACACTGGGACCGGACGAAGGAATGGTGGGCTTAGCCTGAAGGTCCTCTGGTTTGACACAGGGCTCCAAGGATTGACCTGACGGGGTCGTTTATGCTCGGGCGTGAGCCGGCCGTGCGGGCCAGTGCAGCAGACACATCTCCCCCCAGGTCTGTGACACGGCCCCTTCCGTCCTTCCTGGCGTCTCCAGGGTGGAAACGTGTATGATCTGGGTAGGCTTCTAGTTCCACGGCAGACTCTGGCCTCTCCTCCACGTCTCCAGTGACAACCAGTGAATGCAGATGGTGGCAAAAGTCAGGGACCAAGCTTTCTTATTCCCGCTCTGTCCGCCCTCTCTCCACCCCAGTGCATGCTCTGACCACGTCCTGCCCTTCGCCAGTCTCGAAGAAGTTGACGCAGCTGGGAAAGGAACAAAAAAAGACTCCCCAAATCACAAAGAATTATACTCTTTTCCTTCGGGTTCTCTTTTTTCCTAAATAGTATCAGTGAAGAAAGGGAAGAGGCCATGAGGACACAAAGGCGGTGGCTTTCCCATCTGGGCCGCTGAACGTGTGTCCTGTATTTTAATCGAGGGACTTCACCACTCTGGCGAGGAAAGGAGATTCAGCTCTGCTCGGGGTCTGCATATCTGAAAGAGCCCTGATGCACAGCGGAGGGCGAAGGGAAGCCCCGGGGTCCCACGGCTCCGGAACCGGTGTCCCCGGCTCGGCCCGGCCCGCCCGGCCGTACCTGACAGCAGCAGCCAGAGCTCGCCGCGCATGCTCTCTGGGATGCCCTTCAGGGCCAGCTCCCGCGTCTTCTCGGTGCGGTACATGCAGATGCCCTGCCCGTACTCAGCGAAGTGAATCTTCCAGGCTCGCTCTTTCAGAAACTCTTTGGCCTGAAAAAAGGGATGAATGACACGTGACACCATCCCAGAGAATGCTGAGGATGGTGAGAAGTTCACTGGGAGGTCGGAACACTTCCCTTAGTGAGTGGAGCGGGGAAGTTCTGGACAGAACTCACAGGAGAACAAAGAATTCGGACTTTCTAGAGTCCTTCCCTAATCTGACCCATCCATCATCTGCTTTTTGGCCTCAAGTCGTAACTGCCCTGCCCTGAGACCTGTCAGCGGAATACTAATTATATTAATGGCTTTATGTCTATACCTCCAAGTTAAAGGGAGTCTGTTTTTTTTAAATGTGTGCTGTGAAATTACATACTTAATTATCAGTTTACTTAATAGTTAAACCAAGACAAAAAATGTCACCCATACTCTCTATCACTCGTCTCCTTCCATGAGAAGTCACTCTGAACCCTAACGACACATGTAGACAAGATCTGGTTTACTTAGAGGAAACTATCTATCTGCATGGATGTGAGTTTACTTTTACTAAGAAATATTTTAAATGCAACTTTTCCAACAGGAACTTTGGGGGACGAGCCGGAGGCACCCACCAATTTCGGGTTGAATTCCTCGGGAGACCGCCGCCGGTACATGGTCATCAGGGTCTGCGTGGCTGTGGGGACGCTGTTGCCGTTGAGGTTAAACTGGCGTTCCCCGTCGGCGTCAGAGCTCGCGCTCCTCTGGGGGCTGGAGGGGACGAGGCTGCCGGGCCGAGAATACACCTGCCGATGCAGAGAGGACAAGATGTTGTCATGGTTCCCGAGACGTTTCTCATTATGTGAGGAAACGGGAAGCCAGCATTTTATTTTGGTGGGGATTAGACAGTTGCATGGGTCACAGGCTACAGAGCTTCAGTCTTCAAAATGGGTTTTCCTCGGCATTTTAGCAACAAACTAGTTGGCCTTTGTCTCTCTGATTAGTACGTGCGCCAAGCACGCCACGTTTGCATCAGCGGCTTACGGGACCACTTCCCTCACCTCCTCTCTAGTTTCTGGTGCCTCAAAAATGCCCGCTTAAGCTTGGGGCAGGTGGACAGGGGTAGGGATGTTACTTGTGAGTGCATCACCTTTACAATATGTCTTAGCTGCCAGTAACTTGCTCCGTTACTTGAGCAAGTCACATATCTTACAGGCTCCAGCCTTCCTAGATGTTCGTCCAGGTGTAATTTGACAGGGACACAACACATATTTTATCATAATAAAATCATCATCATGATGTGGTGTTTCAGGTTTGAGACTTTATTTAGTGACCTCTGTACCATTCCCAACAATGTCACTTGCTGTGTGACCAGCACAAATTACTTAATCATTCTTCCACTGTAAAATAAGAGGGTTACATCAGATGATCTATCAGGTTCTGTCCAGCTCTATGGTCCTGAGTACAAACTCCATGAGACTTAAATGAGATACTGCTCTGGGCATCAGGGTAGGTGGTTTATCTTAGCACAGCGGCAAAGCTTGAAGATGAAACAAAACGGACAGGAGGCGAACGCTTTAGGCAGAGTAGCAGGACAAACTAAAACGCCCGCAGGCGTCGTCCACAGACCTCATCGTCTGAACTGCTGTAGCTCCCTGCAAACTCTTTGTCCAGGTATATTTTGGAGGTCGTCTGCTGCAGGAAATCAGAGATCCTCTGCACTAGGAAGTCTCTATCTTTCAAATTGGCAAATAGAAAGGTCATCCTGTTCCTGGTGCTGATAGATAAAGGGCTGGGGAGTACGCTGGAGCTGTCCGCCTTCTCTACAATCGTCACCTAAAAAGAAACATGAAACGGAGCATCACTTTGCAGGGACCACCCACAGCAGTCTCTGAGCATCCCTGAAGAATAGTCACTGCACTTTTACGGTTTGTGGAAAGCACTCACATTTTATGGAGACAGAATTGAGATTCTTTGACTGTCCTCATCAAATAAAACAACTCGTAATGAATCGAAACAGAGCTCTTGCCAGAAGTGAGAACTATCTCGCTGGTTTTTCTAAATCATCAGTTCTAAACTGGGAATGACTTTATGCCCCAGGAGACATCTGGCAACATCTGGAGGCATTCTGGGCTGTCACAGTGGAGGGTACCCCTAGTATTTAGTAGGTAGAGGCCAGGGGTGCTGCTAGACATCCAACAATGCACGGGACAGCCTGCCCCCAGCAAAGTCCAGGCCAGGACGTCCACGGGGCCAAGGCTACGAATCCTCACTGTGAAGGAATTCTTTGATTTTCATTAAAATTTCATGGAGCCGTAAAAGAGAAGACTCCTAGCTGCTGCATCATCCACAAGAGAAAGAAAACACCCCTGATACCGGCTCCTTCGACCAAGTTTAACGTTGGCATGGTTTTCAAAGCACCAGCCATCCTTCAAACGTCTCGCTTGGACTCTGGGGCTTTGCATTTTCAGCTCCTACCACATCAACACTGTAAAGGCTTGATTGTGAACAGACATGATGTAAGCAGCTTAATTGCAATCCCATCTGCACTGGCGGGCTGTGTGTGTGTGTGTGTGTGTGTGTGTGTGTGTGTGTGTGTTGAAGTAAGCCGACCACATTGGGAGAAAAGTACAAAAGGGAGACATCTGTTTTTGCTCTGAACTGAAGACATATATTTGGTGGTTTGTAATAGGATTTTCATCAACTGGAAACCAGGAAAAATGCACTAGAACTTTTTTTTTTTTCACACATTAGGCAAGAAAACCTCAAGGCAAGCCCTAGATAAATGGCTGTTTATTTGCAGTGGCTCTGACTATATAATTAACGTTGCTTTTCCCCTCCTCATTTCCATCTGCAAGCAATTTAGACAGGTCCAACTTTAACCTCGTCGGCAGCATCTTCGTGTGAAATACATTTCCTTCGAAGCAGAACTTTAAAAACTTTCTCTCCCTCAAGGCTAAGAAACCAACTGGAGTTGCCTAAAAAGTTCACGGCCACAAGTCCAAAGGGGCCACGACTGGCATCCATAAGAAACAAACTGTACGGCCCAACTTCCACTCTCAGGTGTAATAAATTCATATAGTTAGATACAGACTTTTTAAAGAATTCTCTGAGATACCTAAACTTACACTTAAGAGTTTTCTTTTCTTTTCTAAAGCAAAAAAAAGAAAAAAAAAGAGAAAAAAGAAAGAAAAGAAGAAAAGAAAAAGAAAAAACTCACTAGAGAAACCAGAAAAATATCTTATCACGAAAAGGATTTTTCCATGACACTTAAGAAATGTGTTAAGCGATGGTTATTTTTAAAAGACCCATAAAAGCTCCTTTTCTCACAGCCAGTTTCTTTCTGATTCTTTTGGCCACCAGGTGTCAGGACTAAAGGACAGAGGCCAAAGGAATTAAAGGCTCAAATTCTGTACCTACAACTCAGATAAGCATATGGATCTTGATGGAATCAAAGTGAAAAGGCCTCTTTATCTGGCTGGAGCATGAACACAGAAACAACCCGAAAGCCCCCATATAAAACATGTGAATGCTCACAAAATATTTTTCACTAACAAACAAGTTCTAGTAGATTTCTATCCCGTAAGCTTTGTGCCCCAGGAAAGGGTCACGGCTACGTTTGAGCATTCTCCAGTTTAACGAGACACACTTCCATTGCCACCTTGGGTTATAAAACAGCCTAGAATTGAATCAAATCTCGGAGTTTAATATGGAACATTTACAAGGTAATTTATGATTAAAAAAGGAGACTTTATCTGGAATCTCTAATGAGGAACCTGATCAGTTCACTTTATCCTCCTGCTTTGCTGCCTCGGTAATTTTTTTTTCAAAATCTACAGCAACGTGATTCTGTGTGAACACTTAACATCTGTCAACTTAGTCTGCCTTAAGTCCACACATGGAATATGTGTTAATAATCTCCAGTCAATATTTCAGTTTATTTATTTTTTAAAAATCAAATAAAACAACCCCTCATCTATTTAGAGCCAAATCAGCCATTCCAAATAGGATTTAAGGTTCGCATGGGGGCCCCTGCTGATCAATCAGCTTAACTCAGTTCTGAAAGGTGCCCACGTCCACAGAGAGAACCCTTTGTACTCAAACAGATTCCAGAGAAAGGGTAGGGGCTTCTCCCGTTCTCCCGTTCTCCCGTTCCCTTTTCTCAACAAATCGGTACCTAAAGGTAATAAAAGTTACATTAAGTCCTCTGCTTCTTCCATTAGTTGGGGTTAGAGCACTGCCATCAATATATCTCAGAGATTTGTCAGGTTAAGGGAAGGGCATGGCTGTCTCACTGAGCATTTCTTTAAAGCTGCATCCTCCAACCAAAACATGCTTTATTTCTAAACGCTACCCCAACTATTGTCCTTGCTCTGATTCACCCTGAAATAGGACTGCATTATCTCTGCATTACCTATTAGGAAAACTAGCAAACAGAAGATGGGCTCAGGATATCAGTTACAACTCTCTCAATCCCCTGGCTGTCACTATTGTATTGTAAATTGCACTCTAAGGTAAACAGAGCTAGCTGGACCCCAAACCTTAGCAGCTGGTGAACAGGGGAGCAGATGTCCTGAAGACAGTGCTACCAGCTCTTCTCTGCTCCTCACTTCCCTCTGGTTAAACAGAGTGATGACTTGCTCAGATTTGTACATGGCACATGTACGGCACATTCTTAATCCCAGAACGGGTTTCCGTAGCTGTTTCAGGCACCTCTGCTTTTCTACATTCAGGGCGTACTTGACAAAGGAAACTAAGTTAGTAACAGTTTATGGCAAAGAAGGTAAATTTGCTAGAAAAGTTATGAAGTCTATTTCGGAGCCAAATGTAAGTATAGTTGAATTACCCATCTCAGAATTCGTTACCGACAAAATATCCTGGCCTCAAGAAAATGTTATAATACCAGCTAGCTCATCCTGTAAGAACTAGATTTGTCAATTGCCTGGCATTTCACATTCTTTTTGATCAGTTTCTATGAATTTATAATTTGTAATTTAAGGAAAATTATATATATATGATTGAGAGAAAACTAAAAATAATGCAAAGTTCCAGCCGTATATAGCTAAATAAATTCTATACATCCACTTAACTGAGTAATATGTAGTCATTAAAAATTACATTGGCAAAGAATATTTAATGATATGGGGAAAAGTTTAATATATACTCGGTATTAAATAAAATAAGCAAAAAATAAAAATTCCCTATGTTTTATATTTAAATGTTATCGATGACATATACACAGCAAAGTATAGAAAAAGCTTGGTAAATGGTACTATAGAAAGTTAACAGTGGTTGTCTTTGAATGATGGGACTAGGGATGAATTTTGTTTTCTTTTAATTTTTTGTACTACAAATTTTCTGTGATAGCAATGCAGTTTTCTTTAAAAAAAAACAACAACAAAAAACAAAGAAGAATATTTGCTTACATAAATGATTTTTCTTTTTTTAAAAGAAAAGAATCAGAAGGAAAACCTGAATGCTTTACTACAGAGAATCTTAACAGAGGGTCGATCTTCACAACCGAAGCTTCTAACCACGTCTAGAGAAGAACCAGGATAGGTTGAAAGTTCCCAGGACAGAAACGGCAGGACCACCAGCCCCTGGCGCCCTGACCTGAACTTCCTCCTCAACCCAAAGCTCCTCACACGGCCTCCGCACAAGGACCATGGTGAAGACACGACAGAGCCCACCTCCACCCCAATCGCAAAAGGGATGTTCCTTAGTCTTTACTGTGCATGAGATCAGTCTGGGACTTTATTAAAATACAAATTCCAAAACTAGCAGAGAAGCAGACTCAGCAGATCTGCGGTGGGTTCGGGAACTGGCCACCGTGGCCAGCAGTCCGGGTGGTCTCAATGCAGGGAATCTGAGGACCAGATCTGAGAAACACTTGGCTTCTGATTCAAAACCTGGACCGGCTCCTTTACACCCAGCTGCCCTCAGGCTCTGAGCCAGGTGTAATAATTACATTTTCTAGTTTCTGTATTTGATGTTTGACACCCTGGGGCCTAGCTGAGCCTGGTAGGATCACCCCTCAGGAGTTAGCCAACTCCTTAGAGCTAGTAAAGGATTCTCTTGATAACAAGCCTTTCATACGCAAATGAATGCATCCAGAGCCACGCCCCAACCTTCTCCTTTCTCTCTCTCTCACACACAGGGCCACTAGTCACATGCCCTACTCACCCCAGGGCCACATACCAGATGGCTAGGGACAGCCTCTCTGCCATAGAGCCCCTTGAAACTACCCAAATCAGCCAATACTAAGCCTGCTTGCCCTGCTCCCCCCGTTCCTTCCCTGGAGACTCTCACCAAAGGTTTCCCTTGCTCGGCTGCCTGCTGACCGACCGACTCTGGTGCTTCCCCACGTGGCCCCCACGGCCCCTCCCACTATAACTAACTATCTTTACAATGGTGGTCATCTCCTGATCTGTTGGCATCACCATATCTGAATAATAATAAAATCTCCATCGTGAAACACTAGGCTGCCTCTGGAAGAACTCTCGTAGGTCCCGCAGTCACTTAGAACAACGACACGAAAGGGTGGCAGGAGCCACCAGAGATTATAAGCATTCATTCAGGGTTACGAGCCAGCCAACCGCTGGTAAAAATATTCCTGGTTCACCAAGAAAAGTATTACAAATGAAATTCTTCAAATACCTTTTTTCATCTGCCGCTTACCTCCCGGAGTGGGATAATGAGGCTGCACAAGTTCTCTTCCTTGCTGGTAAAGCAGATGTAATTTGTAGACACAAACATTTGCCCCAAGATGTGCATTTTGTTAAACGGTGTCCAGAGGGTGCAGTCTGTGTGGCCGTCTAATTTTTCATCTTTAGGCAGCCGGAAAAGTGCCCGGTACCTCTCGCTCTTTGCCCTGGCATCGAGATCGCTGGAAGGCAATAATAATAACTCACCTCATGCAAAAGAAACGTTTCAATCCCTTCTAAACCATGCAGCAATGGATGTTCCCCGGCCCACCTTTCCCTCTCTCGATCTTGCCTGACTTATCCCTACTTTCTTGGCTTTCTACTGGGGCTAATGTCAACCTATGACCGAAAAGCGAAATAAGTTATTTTAATATAGTTAGATTCCTTGTATAGTAACTTCATAATCAATATCTGTAAATGTTCAAGAATCTTATGGAAACCAGGCCTGGACAAGAAATTCATCCTTTTTCTAAAGAAATATAATCATTTCTAAAGGGATTATTACATTTACACTTATCCAGAGCCACTTCTGGGGGCCTTGTCTTTTAAGAAAGACCTAATGAGGATAAAAACGAGCCTCATCAATTTGCTGGCTATCACTGCCCACCCTAAATAGACAACCAAATCACCTGAAACTCAGGAGCAACCCACCTCTTGGACAACTAGAATTTCCAACCTCAGCTGGGTCCTCTGTTGACTACAATCTTTCCCCTAACGACCTCCTTTTTCCTGTTCATCATACAGGCTGTTAAAATCTTTCCCCTCACGCTCTACCTGACCTTAGCTCCTTGAGGATCTGGTTTCTGGCTTCACAGAACAGAGAGAGGCTAAGAAGCGGGAGCTCCCTCCAAGTCCCTCTCTCTGCCTCCACAATGACCTCATCAGGTTCCAACCACCAGCTGCATGCCAGTGATTTCCAATCCCATATGTCACTGATTCAATCTCCAACTACCTGTCCTGCAGGCAACTCAGCTTGATGTGACCAAAACTGAGCTGTCACATCCCTGGACCTGCTCGCCCTCTCTCATTCCCCATCCAGTTTCGGGCACAATTCCGTGCATACGGTCACACGGTAGAGCATCGTTTCTCTCCCCCACTCTCTAGCTCTACTCCCACATCCAGACCTCAAGGCTTCTTGGCAGCCTCTCCTCTCCCAAGGCCCGGTCACCTTCCAGGTGTGCATTGGACTACCTTCCCTCTGTGCTCTTCCCCTGTGTTTCCCCCATCGTGTTATTCCGTGAAACGGTCACCCTACTGAACCAGCAGTAGTAACTTCTACTGCCTCTGAGACCCTAGCCGCGAGCACCTCCACTGAGAGGCCTTTCCTGCCCTCAGCCCCATCTCCCCACGTGGGTGCCCGAGGCGCTCTGCTCACAGGCTCGGAGCGGGCAGGCCATGTGAGCCTCACTGACTGAGTTCGGAGTGCTGTGGGCAGACTTCACTTTTGTATCTATACCCAGAAGAGTGTTCTGAACCCTTGAAGTTGTCCAGAAAACGCTAACTTTCCATAAATAAATGGATGGGTTTCTTGTTTCCAAAGTCTGTAAGACTCAGCCTCGGTTACTTACCGCTTGAGAGCAGACACTTTTTTAGGAGATTTCTTTTTCAGTTTAGGCAAGGATCGATCTTGCTCAAACCCCTCATTGTCTAAGAGCTGCCTCATGGCTATGTTGGCGAGCTGCTCCATTAACTTGAAGGTCTCATTGATGTTGAGAAACACAGAGAAGAAATGTTCGCTGGACCGTGTGCTCACTTTGATCACGTCAGGCAGAAGCAGTGTGGCATTCTTCTCGAGCTGCGTGATGTCCACCCACCGGATCACCAGCTTGGCTGGGCACAGGGAACAAGGCTGGGTCAACACCTCGCTCCTTAAAACCCCTTCGAGACACTGCAGTCTCACACCTCCAGCCCCCGATCATGCTGAACTCCTTTGAGTCTACGTGACCGTATTTACCATTGTTTCGTTTGTTAGTTATGAGACAAATGCAGACTACACAGAGTCTGAGTTCATAACTATTATGAATTTAAGCCTGTATCTACCAAATTAGAACTCTGACAAATCTTTAGGACATAATGACCAAAATTTTTATAAATATCGAACTGAAAATAATCAAATTCACTAAAGACTTAAAAAAAAGTAGTGTCGACCCAGTATAAACACAGATGTATTCTTGATATTTTGGTGTGGTTTATGAGTTCAGGGCAAACCTCAGTAGACTTTCCAAAGCTACTCTCCGAAATTCTAGACAACTCACCTTCCCTTCCCATAAGAAAGGAATAAAAGCAGAGGTGGTTAATACTGAGGTACATCCAACCCTGACGGGGAACTTTGCCCTTCCAGTAGCTGCAAGAGTAATAGTTGACAAGCTTCTCTTCCTCGGGCATCCCAAACAGCCTGTGGAATTTCACAATGGCTTCCTTAAACTTCTCTGTGTCATCATCTTCCTTCACATCATTGATTTTGTTATACTCTGCAATGATGCCCTAAGCAGGGATGAAACACAACGCACACAGCTGGTATTACTATGATGAGAGATGCTTTTTCTGTACGCTGTACATATTAGAAAGGAAAAAAAAATAACAATTTTTAAGGCTAGAATTTTTTTTTTTAATTGAAGAATTGTTTTCAAAGGCAATCCCCAAATTCTAAGCCAAATACCAAGTAGCATTTGTGTATGAAAAAGTTTTCAAATGATGATATAGATTTTTATTATCTGTTTATTGGTGCTAATCATTTTATTAAACTCAATTAGAACAAAGCCCATCATTTTATTTTGCAAATGAGGAAATGTAGAGATTTTACTAGTTCTACTGCTTTTCCTAGATTACCGTGATAGAGTCATACCAAAAGTCAATGTCTGCCTTTCTTAAAAATCAACAAAAATTCTTCAAGAATGGATGAGGTTCAGGAAAGACCAGAATGCATGTCACTAACTGACACTTGATCATAAATCTACTATCTTAGGGTCATGAATAACATCAGGGGACCTAGAGAAAAGGAACAAGCAACTATTTGAATGGAAAAAGGGGAATATGAGAGCAAAAATTATATTAGACACACAATTTTTGGTCAGTTGGACAAAAAAATGAAATATTTTCGAAGCAAGTGACTGGCTTAATCTACTGTTTATCATTTTAATAGCTTGAGAGGCCATTTCATTGTTATCCAATTTCTTTGTAATTCCCTGAAAACTGGCTTCTACATAAATCTCTTGACAGAAAATGCTGCCTTGGATTCCACTTTTTACTCTGTAATCCCCAAATCTCTCTAGTCTCATCTTTATTTCCTCGGATCAGGTAGCACGTGCTTTCGAACATGAAAATTTGGGGCTCAGATCCCAACGCTATCACTGCACCGCTGTGTGTAGCTGGGCAACCTCTCGGATTCTCCTTGACATGACCGAACCCTCCGTATTCCGAGGACAGAAAATTGCAACGGCCTCACACCTAGAATTGCTGTCTTTTGGCCCTTCTGTTTTCAGTGCATCCTGAATACTCCCTACAAATTCATCTTCCTTAACACTAACTCTGACTAAAAAATTCTTACGAAAAGTCTAGACCAGGCACATTTTGGATCCACTAGAGTAGACTCTTACCTGAAGTCAGAGGAAGGATGATGTTAGAATAGAAGGGAGCGATGTATAACAAACCACGTGATACCGAATGATATGTTTTGAGCAGAAAAACATTACGTTCAGACTATGCCATCTAAAGATCTACTAAATAGCACATTCTAGAATGCTCCTTTAAATTTTAAACAAATTTAAATATGAAAGGAATTATGAAGCTAGAGAACTGAGAAATATCACTTTGAAACACTTTGGGGCCTAATACACTTATAGCAGCAGACCAGACCTTCTAACTAGTTTCAACAGTAAGGATAATACTGCCTTAGGAGGAGGCTCCACTTCCAAGCTTAACACATCTAAGAAAAGAGGGTCTAGAATGCAGAACCTCTTCTTAGTCTGCAGTAGTTTATTAGCCAGGTGAACTGAATGATGGAACAAAGGGATGGAATATCTCCCTCCTATATGTTCTACAGGTTCTACATGACATAAAATAGGTCACCTGGTGTTAGGCAACAGCTCCACTTAGGAAAATTACCAAATGCACAAGGGATATTGACAGGCAATTCTCAAAAAGAAGAAAATGAACTTATCAAACATGAAAAAATGTTCAACCTCATAATCTGAGGCAGAAAATTAAAATAATTAGACACCAACTTTGACCTGTTCAATTTGAAAAACCATTTAAACAACTGTAACGCTGAAAGCAAGCAATGGCATAATCGCAGAGGGATTCCAATATGTTGACGGAACCTACTAAGGTCCATTAAAAATGTTTAAACTACTTAATCCATTAACCAACATCTTCTAATCTATCCCAAAGGAAAAAAAGCAAAAACTATAGGAAAAGTTATACAAACAGAAGTGATCACTGTATTGTTGCTTGTGCCTGCCCCCCACTATTCTAGAAGCTAAGAAGACATCTAGAGAGAGGAATGGTAAGGCCAGTTATGGGATAAAAATAACAACTAAAAATTATACAATAATATAGTACATACTAGTCAAAGAAAAAAGGCCCAACACAAAATATATATACAGTAAGACTACTATTATACATAATATACATATAAGAAACACGTAAGAAATCTAGAAAGAAATACACAAAATACTATCTACAGTATTTGAATTACGGTTGCCTCTATAGTTAATTATTACCTTTATAATTTATAAAAGTTAATTAAGACCTCAAAACAAATTTGTTGGTTTTCTCAATTATTGAACAATCTGTGCACGCTTAAACTGTTCATTTGCATATGAATGGCATTCTTTCACACATAATTGCATTAATAGCAATTCCTCATAATTGGTTTCAGGGGAATTAAATCTGACATTTTTGGTGTAACGAAAATGATGAGAAGAATGGCTATTTGACAAAATCGGTTCTTGTTTTATTCATTCATTCATTCATTCATTCATTCATTTATTTTTCTCCTGGCTATTGTCACCTCTAAGATTCAGTGTCTTCCAAGAGCTCTTTTATTTGAACCTGTTTCCCAAAGACGATAACATGAAAAGACGCCTGAGCATCTCAGTAGCGGCCCCTGGACAGAGAAGATGCTTTCGGTCTGTGCTTCCCCACGTTGATGGGCTATACGCCTTCGACCCAGCCCCCCCGCACATGATCAGATTAGGAGTCTTCAGACTCACTCCATGTACATTACTTCCCAGAAATTCAGATTGGTTTTATCAATAAAACAACTCTCAATTATTCTAGAATAACTTTTCTTTGGGGGGGGGGGGTCTGGAGGCTGCCATTTCCTCCCAGCTTCACGTGTATCCTTTGCAATGTCTCTCTCCTTCTCATTTTTATCCTCTTTACTACTCTTCTAATCTCTTTAACGAGGATGGAGAAGATACCTAAATCACCAGTCTTGAAGCAGTGATAAAATATTCATTCTGAGGGGTCAGGGGTGGAAGTAAAGATGAGCTTGATACTATTACATGTGCTTTTGTTCTTCTCGGCCTTCACTAATTTTTTGTGGTCTTTAGTGGTCCAGTTAAAATTCAGCTCTCTCTTTCAAAAGCATCAGATCTAGAGTACTTTTATGCCTGGTTTTCTCTAAAGCCGAGATGGCATCCGAGGTCCAGATTCTCATCTCTGAAGAGTGTAGGGCTGCTGTTTACCAAGTGGCATCTTATGAGCTTCACGTCAGTGATGCTTATTCCTAAGGACTGTTACTACAACAAAGACACAGGAGCACCTCTTTTTGCTGCATTCTTCAAACACCGAGCTGAGATGAAGAGGAAATATGCAAAGCAGTTCCTAAGATACCTAAGAAAACATGAGGGTAAAATCTGCCTTCCAGTGATTAAGAGGCCTGATCTAGGAAAGGGCGCACAAGCTTGAAAGTCTGCTCTGGGACTGGAGAGCAAGTTAACCAAACTCCTGCGAGACCCGACGACCTTGGCTTCTGACAACAGTAAAAATGATCTCTCACACTTCACGGGCATGTCCCTGGATAAACAGAAGAGGAACACAGGCTGTCTGGAACACCAGCTTGCATATCATAAGAAATTAGAAAAGCAGGCCCAGGAGGAAGACACATTTAAAAAGCCTGCTGACTTGTCCAATAAAGAAACTTAACATCTGAAGGTAACATGGCAAGTCTTCCCATCGCAGTAGGTCACAAAGTCAGCTAAAGAATCTTAATCTTCTCCATTTGACAGAAGACACCTCTCTTTATCTATCTAGTGTCTTACTCCTCATTGTTGTGCATAAAAATAAATCTGTTTTTACATTACATTTATGTGTAAAGAGATTGCTACTGGAGCATAAGAAAGGGTTAATGCCATCGATGTTAGTTTGGAAAAAGCTTCTCCTTTGGTCCCAATAACACTCAGATAAGGAATTTTAACCAGTCCAAGTAGATACAGTAGAAATTAAGTAATAAAACATTAGGTCTCATTAATGCTTTCTTTCCCTTCAACTTATTATATACAAAAAAAAAAAAAAACAAAACAAAACCAAACCAAACAAAAAATGAGACTCTAAAGAACAATGAGATTCTATTTGTATTTTTTCCTTCTTTTTCTGAGTACGAAATTACTACATGCTCATGTCAAAGTTCAGTAAAGTAGAAAATATAAAATAAAATTGACGATTCTGTGGAATTTTAATAAGAAGCACGTTGTCAGATCACTTCCTAGAATTCCTCCTTAACCTATGTAAAGTAAGGCTTTCTTACTGTGACTCAAACTCCAGCTATTATAATAGAAAAAAACTGCTAATTTTGACTAAATAAAAAATTTAAACTTTGCATGGCAAAAATTGTTACGAGCAAAGTCAAAAGACAAATGACAAACCGAGAGAAAATATCTACAACATACATAACTGATAAAAGACCTTCATATAAAAAAAACTTTTAAAAGTTAAATAATAATGAGACCAAAAGTCCCACAGAAAAATAGGTAAAAGATAGGAGCACACAGTCTACAAACAGTGATAAAAACACGGCTCTTGAACGTATGAGAAGACATTGTTTCACTCAAAACACGAAAAACATGAACACATTTCTCCCCCACCAGAAGGGCAAAAACTCACTAGCGTGATAATCCACCTTGCTGGTGAAGATATGAGGAAACAGGCACTCCCAGACATAAGTGAGAATAAAAATCAGTACCGCTCCTGGGGACGGGGAATTCGGCAACATTTAACAAAATGGAACAGGTATTTACCATTTCACCTGGCAATCCCACTTCTGCCAACTTATCTTAAAGATACATCCCCAATAGTACAAACATATATAGCCTTATTTATATTGCATAGGAGAGTGGCTGAATTATCTATGGAGTAGACACACAGAATATGAACTTAAAACAAATAAATGCAACATGGGATCCTGGATTAAACCGTGGAATTAAAAAAAGGACATAAAATGGAAAAACTGGTAAAATTCAAATAAAGTCTGTAGTTTAGTTAACAACACCATGTCAATGTTAATTTCTTAGTACTGATAAATGCACCATGGTTACGTAAGATGTGAACATTCGGGGAAACTGAGTGTAGGGTCTGGGAATTTTCTGCTCTATCTTTGCAGTTCTTCTGCAAATCTAAAAATCATTCAAAAAAAAAAAAACAGAACTATTTAAATTAAACTACAACAACAAACATGTGGACGATCTCTATGAACTCATATGGGGTGTTACCCAGGAGTCATTAAGTAAAAAACGCAAATGCAAAGGAGCATATATACAGGAAGCCTCATGTGTAAGAACTAAAGTAAGAAAAAATACACATACCTTCCTATGTTTACGACTTTTCTGTAAGTTTTACCTTATTTCCAATTAAAAAGTTTAACAACAAAAAACCCAAAACATCCTCTACCTGTATTTTTCCTCTCACGAATGTGGTGATATCATTCTCATTTTCAAAGATGGAGAGTGTCTGCAGTAGGTTCTGCTCAAGCCATTCCCAGTGTTCGGTGATTTCTTTTCTGGAACCACCTGGACGAATGTAAAGATGTAGTAATTGTCAGCATTTAAAAGCTATCTAAAAAAACAGGCTCATGTCATCAATATTTAATGCCACTAAAGGAGACTCTTGTCCCAACAGCTCTACCTTTAAATGCTCTCTCTCCTCCAGAGGAGACACACACAAGACATTTAAGGAGGTGGAAACCCAAGAATGAGGGCAGCATGTCCTCACTTAAGTCGTCGATAGGTTCTTTGACTTTAAGCTGAATGCTGTATACCAGTTTTACCATAGGCTAATTGATAAAAGCATGAGTTAGGCTCCTATAGCATTCCATCAACGTCCTAATGAAAATGGAACAATGTTTTTCGAGGATCTGCTGTACTGTGTTATAGTTGAGTCTGATGAGGTGAGTCCAGAAACTTTTAGGATACTTTGGGATTAGAAGGCAGCAACATTTCTCCCATTCACTTTCCTGGGTTGGGAGTTTAGCTCCGCCCTCTTTTTTCCCTCCTAGAGTCTGCACCTCACAGGGTAACAGAGATCCTGTTAGGATAGTAGGTTACAGCTGTTAAGCTGCAAGGCTTGTGAGAGCTTTGGAATGCCACTGGAGAGCTGATGTAATCGCTCCTATCATGGGCAAAAAATGATCCCCACTCACTTCAATAATGAATGAGATGTGAAAATGGACCGTCGCTAGGGAATAGCAGCCTGGCTTTCATAAGCACAGCTGCCTTGAGAAGTAATGGGATGAGGTCATCCTCACAGCCGTGGACCAAATCACTGCACTCGGGCCGGTTATAAAGAAGCTTAAGTCAACTCGCCTGGCAACCTCCAAAGTGAAACCACCCCAGCCTCGCAGCATCTGTGATCGGCTCTGCTCTCCGCTCACTGCTCACAACTGCGTGGGCGTATAACCGGGACGCCGTCAGATGAGGTTGGACAGACACTGGAATAAATCCCCTTCCCTTTTTGTCTTGCTCTGGGAATGTTAACCATCTTGCGGGAAAACAGTGTCTTATAAATCATCCACGTATCACAGATGTAAATTATATAGAGGTCATATGTCATATCGTAGATATAAATTGTATGCACTACTCATTCCAGAATTAAAGAATGATTTAGTGATTCCACTGATGCACCTTTCAGTCCTCTTCACAGATTTCCACGGGATCTTTTCATTGATTTCTTTAAAACGTCTTCTCTCTGTTCTCTGTCACCAGTGATTCAATACATCTCAGAATCTCACTCTGACTCCTGACAAAGGTGGGAGACACGAATGTGTCTACAGTGATACTCGGAACAGTGGGAGCAGAACTAAAATCTCTTAGAGAATAGAGGGTAGACTTGAGGGGCTTCAGACCCACTGTGTGAGGAGAGGTGACATCAAACCAAACCCGAGTTCATTTTCTTTTCCTTGAAGCGAAATACCAAAACTGCCTACATGGAACATTTGTGTGGAAGATGAAAAGCATATTTCTGCGTGCAGAGGTAGCCCCGTGGAAACACTAGAGAACAGACTGTCTGCAGTGCCTTCAGCTTGGCACACGCTGCCTTCAGCTTTCCTTATGCACATATTCATGTAAGGACACCCCCCCCCACACACACACACACAGCGGGGTGGAAATGGCACACGCACGCGTGCGTTCACACAACAAACATTTACCCGTACCTCCCACTTTCGCGGTATTATGTGAAGGTCGACATGGCTGATCTCCATCACCAAGAAGCCATCTGAGCACTGTTCTACTGAAGTTCAGGTGTACTATCCAGTTTCCTAATTACTGCCTTCTCCGTGGCCCAGGACCACCTCCCTTCCACCCTGTGCCACCGCTCCCCATTTCCATAATCTCCGCCTTCCACCACCCAACGCCATATGCACCACTGGCTGTTTTGTCTACTTCCCGCCTCCTGGGACGTAAACCGCCCCCAGTTCTGTCTTCCGTGATCACCACCGGTCCTCCCTCCGACTGCAGCTGCGTGTGCTCGTCCTCTTCTGTCCTCCACCTCCTGTTGCATTTCCCACACCTGTCGGTGTCACGTGAAATGGCTGGCTTTTAGAGTTATCACCGGCCACTCATTGCTCTCATGTAGAGAAAAGGAGCCAGGAGTACAAATCTCAGATCCTCGGGCCTGGAGGTCTCGTCTGGCTACATCCAGACCTAAGATCCCCAAGTTCCAGGAGACCGGGTTCTAGATAAGAACTTTGTGTGCCATTCTATGCAACCGTATACGATTTGAGGAAAGAAGAAGACACGAATGCCATCAGCCAATGGCAGTTTCAGGAATTAACTATGGATTGCTACACCCAACAGATAATTCCAGGGAGAGTAATGAAATGTGCCTTTTGACATTACTATTGCTGTACAAATGCACCGCATCTTCTGAACACTTTCCTAAATGCACCAAGAATAAATAAGGACAGGTGTCCACGGTCCCAGGTGCTGGAGTCTAGAAGTATGAGGACACCTGTGAGGCAGAGCTGAGTCATCTCCCCGAGCAGACGGGACAAATTCCGAAGAAATCAATTTAGTAAAAACTATTTCTGAAAGCAGGTTCCACTTCCGTCTGCTTTTCGCCCCAGAAGATACAAAGGGCCGCATCACCTCTCAGCGACCACAGAGCAAAGGTCCTGTTAACAGTCTGAGAGTAACTGTCACTTTTGCCAGACCAATCTATAGGAACCAGGGAAGACGCCACAGAAAACACGTTATGATCCTAAAAGCTCCTTATAAAGGGCTCTTTCGTTTCTCAAGAAAATAAGTACAAGTGCTGCAATATTTAAGGTCTTGGGGCTCTTTAGTTATTGCTTAAAGTGAGATAACATGAAGCTCTTTTGCCCTGACTTTAAAAAGGGACTATTTACCCAGCAGTTTGCACAAAATGCACTAAATGCTCAGAAGAGAAGGGAAGGGCTTGCATGTCGACTTTCTGGAAAGGCCTCATTTACAGAGATGCAGCAGGAAAAATAAGCTGACCTGACTGTGCAATCAGCTGGAACAATAAAAAGCTGGGTCCGCCGAGAGAAGTCTTCGGGAAGTCCAAGTTAAAGCATCTGGGGGCCCAAAGGAGATCGGCCCCTGGTGGTCTTAAGATTATTTAGAAACGAACTTTGTAAAAATGAGAATCCGAATACCATTTGGAGTGTGTGTGGGGGTGGGTTTTGTTTTTTGTTTGTTTGTTTGTTTGTTTTTGAGACTGCTAGCCATAGGCCCTTTGCCTATATCTGGGGAAATTTTCAACATTATCTATGACGATGAAAAATACTAAATCGTCCTAGTCTAATCTGTCATCCAGTTTAAAATATATCTTAAAGCACATACAGTCTACTTGAAATAAAAAGGAAGAAGCATTGAGATGGACCACGGATTGATTCTATCACATCTGGCCTCTGAGGATTAAGAACAAAGGCTTAAGGCTCCCTGACATAGTCAGTGAATATTTCTTTGTGATGAATGATTAATAATGCATTTGGTTCCGAGACCGCAGCGCTGACTCACGAACCTGAATTCCAGGATGCTTTAGATGGTACATCCTCACTGATCAAGGCTGTGTGTACGCACATGTGTAGGTATATATTTGTGTGTAACATGCAAAAAGAAACTCACTCATGACACAGCAGGAAACAAAATTAAGCAAAACCAACCCACTAGACCTCCTAGGGATTAGAAAGCAGCCAAGCTAGTATTTTCAGATACCGGAACAGGCTGTGTGGATCCCAGAGCTGATCCAGTCCTCAAGTGAACAGCACTGGGAGCCAATTAAAGGGAACCAAATGAAGGAATCAGCTATTTTATGGCCTTATCCAAACATAACCTTAGCCACAAAGATGATAATTTTCAAGTTTAAATACCAAATGAAGGCAAGAGTAATACCTAACATACTAGAGTAACATCGACTGTCCCTGTAGTACTTACAAAGCCACCATGCAGTCTCTACACCCAGAAAAATGACTTATTTGGAGAGGGCAAGAGATAAAACCCAAAAATAATGTAGTGATTTAAAACATTTTTAGAAACAAAAGGGAGATTTGTGTTTTAAAGATTTACATTAAATGTATTTAAATTAATTAAAGCTATAATTATAAATATATTAAAGATGATGATAACGTTATCTATTACTTATTTGTACGTAGCAGGTGGCATACTTAACTTTCGATACGTTATGGAACATGATCCCAAAGAATTCATCTAAGGAGTTCCGGTTATAATCCTTTCATAGAGGAGGAATCGGAGGCTTTCACATTTCTATAAAATTTAATCCAGATTTTTCTGGCACCAAAACCTATACTCTTAATGGCTACCCTTTACCACATCCTGACATATTTTTGAAGTGGGGTAAGTAGGACTAGAGGTTAGACTCTCTGAAGTGATAAGAAGCCTTGTCATCGGGGAGACGATATCGCATAATGGCTCACATCACAGACTCTGTCAAAAAAGTGCACCTGCTTTCAAGTCCCTACCCTGCCACATACTAGCTCTGTGACTGTGGGTAAGTAACGCGACCTCTCCGTGCTTCAGACTGCTCATGATTCCTTCAGGTGTCCCGTGCATGTTACTGAGGGAAGGCCCAGAACCACCGCTTCTGTAACTATTATAAGCTTCTCACATAGCTCGGCTTGTAATCTCTTACAGGTCATACCAACGCGCTCATGGCTTTAAAATCACTTTTAGGAAAAAGAGGCCCAGGTAACTACTCATCCGACCCTGGTGAGAATCAGTGGTTGATGTTCTTATTTTACCGAACTGCCAAGGTCCTCACTTACCCTAGTGGAGAGAACGTAAATGGCTGTCTTTCTAGAAGGCAACTGGGCGCGAGACACAAAAAGCCTTACATATATGCACATGCTTTGCCTCAGCACACCTACTTCTACAAATATGTCCTAAGGTGATAATTAAGGGAATGTGAAAAGATTCTGTTCATAGGATAGTCACTAAGGTTGTTCCAAAAAGGCAGTTAGCTTTGGGGGGAAAACCCTAGATTTCCAACAATAACATATCAATTAGTTAAATTATGTTATATATACCATAAAATGTTATCTACCTATTAAAATCGATATTACAGAAATACATTGTATTGACATGGAAAATGTATACACACACACACACACACATATGTATGTGTACGGACACCCACATTTTACATGTTTATAAAGTCTGGAAGGTGATTTATGATGTGGTATTAATGTTTTTAAAATTTTTATTCTTTTTGCTTATCTATACGTTCTAATTTTCTACAATAAACATATATTGTTGGAAAAAATAAAGAGCAAGTGTTTTTTTTAAGCTGCTCTCTTCCCAAGGATCCAAGACTAATTCTTGAGGCCCACACACCAAGAAAGGATTATCGAATACCGACCAGCTTACACGGCCCATGTGTCTCACTTGGAAGGCAACGGAATGACCCAACACCCCCCCTATCTACTGGAGAAGAAGAGCAGAAGCAGAACCAATTAGTAACTTTTAATTAAATTCTGGGCCTTACCAACGGCCGACCAAAAGAATGTTTAATCCCCAAAGCCAGCATGGTGCTGCTTAAAAAATGCTGGGCTGGGCGCTGGGGAGACTGGGAACTTGGCCTTGGCCCCTCACTAACTGGCTGTGACTAGCGCAGTGAACTTGGGCAATTCGTTCTACCTCTGTATCCTATTAAATTAAAGGTGTTGAACAAGATGGTAGCTAATACAGCTTTCGGTTCTGAAAACAAATGACCATTTAGGCCCAGAGGAGATTCTGGGATGGTAAAGAAGAAGGAAACTAAATCGATAGGCAGCTGAATCCAGGCGCTGTTCAGGGCTGTGTCATCAGTGAGGCGTCCATCAAACACATGCTCTCCACCTACTTCCTGTATCAGTCCTGTTGGAAGGTTCCAATGTATCCAGAGGGAACTGTCAATAGATCCTGTCTTTCCGTTTGTGACTCTCCTCTGCAGCTGTCCCAGAGCTCCTCATTAGACAATATCCTTGGAATGACCTGCATTTCCTTGTGTCTATATTATTCCCGCAGAGGCTATATAACCCATTTCCTGTTAGAACCTTCTAATTCTTCTAATGGGGAGAACCAAACGGTTGCTTTCTACCTAAGTCCACTGAAGGCCAAGGAGGGCAAAGCCTGGGCTCTGTCCTGCCTCTGGGACGCCAAGCAGCTGTTGAGGGAAGACCTGAGGCTACTTAGTGCCCTGGTGACCCTGGTGCCCTTCGTGCAAAACCATCTGTGAACCGATGGGTGGGTGGAGAGGCAGAATCGTCAGAACACAACGAGCTCAACAAAGCTGGGCAAACTCCTATGGCAAAGCTTCCTAACGTTCTTAGAGATGGCAAAAAATATCACTTACGGACAATCAACCAAGCCAAGTGCAGTTAAGTAAGCTGGAGTTGATGGCCCAAGGGAACGGTGGCTTCATTTGGGGCAGTAGGGAGAAGGGTCATTATTTAGGAAGGTTGTGGGCTCCCCTTCCCAATTAAAGGTGTCAATGGCAAGGAAACATAAATTATCAATTTCTTCAAACTAGTCCTGATACAGACTGTTAGAAGATAATTTTTTTTAAAGCATATGAAAATAACGCTTGGTTATCTATAACTTGCTTCCCGCCCACCTTCCTGTACGTTTCATATTGCCAAGGGCCAGGTGATTATCATATTGGCGGTCAGACTGCCGCGGCCCCTGCCTGCTCTCCCTGCCTGGTTCCATGTGGCTCAAGCTTAAGGCACATCATTTGAGCAGGGTTTACCACTAAGACTACTGCTCTCCCATAGAGAGTGGTCTACGTGAAGACATTGATTCTAGACACTCCCTTTTATCCAGTTTACGTGGACTGGAGAGTCGCAAGGCACGTGGCACAGAACAAGGTTTTGGAATGCTATGTATTGTACAGGGCAGTGAGTGAGACCCACCCAGTTTTCTGCAGAAGCTTCTCTTAGAGCAATGAATGATTCATGAAATACAAGAAAATACAGCTCCCCACATACCGTCCCGCCAAATACCAACTTTGTAGTGTATGAAAAAACAACATTAAAATTACAAACCAAAAGGTCAGTATATCAAAGAAATCTCTTTAAGGCAAATGCTTCCGTTCTTAAAAGCTTCTCATATAGGGGAGCCAGCGATTTGGGTTTAAACAGAAATCGATAAGCAGAACGACTAATGGGTGAGTGTGACTTGCACAATGGTTGTCACTTCCGTGGGGTCTTCCACAAGGAAATTCTGGAGCTATCGCTATGAGTAATCAATAGATACAAAGCTAAAACTGCTCTGGGTTTATTGTAGTGAGATCATGCAGCTTGACAGGCATTACAGAGCACATCTCTTTGGTATAAGTCACGCCATCAGCGTTTACTGCCTACTGTTCCTTAGCCTCGGCTCGGCAAATAATTTAGGAATAATTCAGCCGTGTAACTCTGGGCCCCTTCCCACACAGGCATTCATAGGATCCTCTCCATAGAATGGCACATAGTAATGTCAGGCAACAGGAAATAGCATGCCACGGAGAGATCAGAGGAGCTCCAGGCTCCAGACGGCTTCAAAGTCTCGGGGCACAAGTGGTGGAAGGTGAGTGACCAGGTGTCAAGTACCCTTTCCACACCCCGCCCCCCCTTGATTGAGTGGTTTAGCGGCTCTGCCTGATTTCTCATTTCCTTGCCTTTCACTTCTTCGCCCGCCGGCTACAGTGTCTATTTTAACACTGTTCTAGAGTGTTTGCCAACTAAATGTGACGCTTTTCCAACCAACTAGCACTTCCCCTTCTGCAGCAGCTACTGAGTCTTTCCCTTGACAGAGACAGCAGAGTGCCACCCGGCTCCGCCTGGGCCACACGCGCAAGTCTGTCTTCCTCGGGGCCCCAGCTTCCCTCTGCCTTCATCCTCCCTCCGATCCACATCCTTCACGCCTAGGTGGTGTTCTCCATGCCCCGAACCCTTCACTCCCCAGAAAGCACAAATGGCTGGTACGTCCCCCTGTTTCTCCTGGGGCACACTGCGTCTTAACCGGAATAACTTTAAAGGGATGTAACTACAGGTTAGAATTTCCGCTGCTACAAAATCCTTGTGGGAGCATTACTAGGGCGCTGGAACCTTCCAGCAGCCTGAACTCACCCCCAGATAACCTCCCCTACTCACGCAGAAGGCCAGGCAAGCGTCCTGGACTAGTCAGCAGCCCTACAATCAAATGGCTCTGTATGGCACTTGCTTGCACTGGGCTGTCATTGAGTATTGACTTGTGTTTCAAGAGCAGAGACCGAATCTGATTATCTTTAGATCTTCAGATCCCAGCACAGGACTTCCTACCAAGCAGAGATCAATTTAAAAACTGTCGTAGAGGGTGTCGGAGGAGGCTGCAGGATCCGAACAAGACGTCACCAGAGCGAGAAAGAAAACCACCGTGCTAAGCCATCAGGATTTGGGGTTCATCTGCTGGAAATGGCAACAGTTACTTACCCCCAAATACCTAGCGATTGTATCCACAAAGAAACGCTCCTTCCCGTCTGACATAATGTTGTTAATCCCCACCTTTCTCCGGATTTCCAAATCCTGCTACTTACCACAGGCGATGGTCCAATAGACCAGAGAGTCTGGAGTCTGGTACAGGATTCGGTAGGGAGCGACGCGGGCACTGGAGTCCAACACCACATCGAGGGTACCCACCAGCAGGCCTGAGGGCAGGAAAGGGGGACACGTGCGTGAGGTTCCTCGGTGCTTTCTCGTTCCAGAGGCAGTGTGAGCATTTCAAGCTGACGTTTACTTAGACGGTGTGCTTACTAAGGATGGCTCTGGGATGCAACTGATGAGGGTTAGGGTGGGAAGGCCCCCAGCCTCCCTTGCTCTGCCACTATGGAAAATAGCACACCGGAAAAACGCCAAGCTCGGTGTCTGCCCCCGGCAGGTTTTTTGAAGTTCTGCTGAATCTGAACCACAAGTTCTGAAAGTATCACCCCCAGAATCTTTTGATGTGTCATCTTACAATAATGGCTTGAGGTCTGGTTCTGACCATACTGAATAACACCTTGATATGCACGAAACCATCGCGATTCACTTGCCGCTGGCCTGGCAGTCTAGGCTCATGGAAAGAGTTATGGATGCGCCAACTGGAGCTCAGCAGAGCTCAGTTACGGCTCCGATTCTGTTATAACCAGTTCCGTGGTGTGGACAGACCACTTACTCTCTCATCGCTTTGACAGCTCGGTTGTAAAGTGACTGTAATAGCGTCTGCCTTCCTGAACCAGGGTTATTAATCAAGAAGCCCAGAGGAGGTTAACACAGGGAGGTCCTACATCTGTCCTTGGTCTTTGTCCAAGGACAGGAATCCATTTAGGTTCATTCCAAACCACAGTGACCATTAGCTGACCCGAACACACCAGACAAAACAAACTCTCTCTAAAATGGAAACTAATTCATTGGTTTGCTCTGGACTGTATGAAGTACATTAAAAATAAATCCTTGGAGTCTGCAGAATTTTCCAAGGGATAAAGTTCCACATAAAGTCCATAATGTCGTGCGCGTACATTTTTCTTTCCTCTACTGTGACTTGGATTTGCTGCAAAGACAAATTTACTTTTCAATCATCTGCAGAGGGAAAAGTATATTAATAGGAAAAGCAGAAGAGTGCCAGCTAAGCTGGATTTCCTTCGACCAGAAATACAAATGTATCACCCATGGTAATTGAATGCTTATGATACTTGCCTCTTCTTGAATCAAAAGAAGAAATAAAATGCCTTAAATACAGGAAGTGTGACACATGTTGGTTTGGAGGCACACACACTTCAGTCTGGCATTAGGGCGCTGCAGTCAAGGACTGGCCTACGTGGCTCACTGCGCCTCTACGAGTGTCACAGGGACAAAGATCCTCCAGGTCTCTCTGGCCAGAGTGGCCCACAGAGGCCGTCCCGGTTCTGGATTTCTTCACTCCTGGCTCTGCCACTTCCCAACTCTCAGACTCAGGCTCCCTGAGCCTCAGTTTCTCCATCCTCAGTGTCTCTCTGAACTTCCGTACTCAGCAACACCACGGAGGGAAGACGACCTCTGAAAAGGTCCAGTCGATCCACATGTCTCGATCACTACAAATGTCCCCAACTAATATCCATCTCCAATATCCATTATCCTAATGAACAAAACCTCTGGTGTCAGAGATAAAGAATCCTGGGTGACTTAAAGCAGACCCCCGTGAAGTGAGGGCTTCTGATGAGGTGCCACTCACCAAACCTGAGTGTGCATTTACAACGGGCACCACCAACTTCCACCAAGATTTAGATGGAAACTAACAGGTACATACACACCGACCACGGGGTCCATGCTCAACTATTTTCAAGTAAGTTATAGACTTACTATGATATTATGATATTGCAATACCCACATGAGGTACATATAAAATCAGAAAAATTTTGTGGCAATTCTTAGAAAACTGGATATCCAAACAGAAAGTAATGCTGTGACCTGAAATATGCAGTCGGCCAGTCAAATCAATCAACACGCTTCCACTTTAACCCGGAAGTACTTGGCAACACTGACCTGTCTTTTCCCTCCATTTGGGATGTTGCACTTGTCCGTCATATCTTACTTCCCAGCACCTCACAAATGACAAACTCCCAATTATTCAATGCCAACTTTTTCTAACTCTGATCTCCCTCACGTTCTGCTTCTGTAATACTCGCCGCATTTATTTAAAATTACTTGCACATTTTGCTTTGTTCCGTGTCTCCCCCTCTCTCCAGACTAGGGGCTCCCTGATGGCAGAGTCTAATTGATTCTTTCAGACTCCTAGGCCCTGCACTTTGCTAGCACAGATAGCTCTGCACGCGTGTTTGATGAATGGACAAGTGGTGTATTTTTTGAAAAAACCTGAATAATGAGTTATCACCATGCTGCCTAAGCTCTATGAATACAAGGAGTCAAGGCTTTGGGAGAGAGAAACTGTTTTCATACCCTCTGTGCATACAGAACGTTCGAAGATGGAAAATCTGGTCTAGAGAAGCCAAAAAAAAAAAAAAAAAGCAGCAATCAGGATTTACTTAGAAGTCTTATTACTCATGCTTCTGAAAAAGCTGTCAAAATACTGAAGCTTTTATCATTTCCCACACAAAGCGTTGTTTTAGCAGCTGTTCTAGTCAGCTATTTCTGGTGTTAAACAACCTTTGATCGTCTGAGATAACTGAATCAAATTATGGCCCTCGAAATAACTCTTCTCTGCATCTACCTGTTACATTAGTTTGGGAGCATCTGGTAACAAAAAGTGCTGTTTTCAAGGAAATTCAGAAAACACTCTGCAAAACAGTCAGGCTTCCCACGTGGCTGTGAGCACTAGAGGGTGTGTGACACATACAGAGTCATGTCTCCATTTCTGGGGAGCCCCCACTTCTAGGAGCAGAGATGTGTCAGGGGACAGCCGGACACAGAAAGGTGCTCATGGCAATGACCAATCCATCTACTGATGATCTTGGAATAATTTATGTTATTCCAAAGGATCACCCAGCCTCCCTGCATTCCCTCGGCCTTGCAGCCAGGTGGAGATGAGACTGAGATCTGCAAAGACCAAGGCACAGGGCAGGGGCAGGGGCTCAGTCCTGGCCTGGGTCCTGACAAGGAAGTAGTAATAGTGTCCATTCAGAGAGGGCCTGCCATGTACTAAACATTTTAACAAAATGATTCTAAGCCACAGAAAAGTACAAGAGATGACCAAACACAGGTATTACCGCTCTGACTTTAATGCTTGGCCTTCCTTACCTCCTTCAGGCCTGTGGTTTTGTTTTTTTTTTAAGGCAAGGCAACCCTTGGTTGACCTCACAGATTGCAAGGACCTTGTCAGCTTACGATCCCTTATTTTTTTATTTTTTACGCCTATAGCACCTGGTCTTCCTAAGTGGTCTCCCACCCAAGTACTAACCAGGCCCGACTCTGCTTAGCTTCGAGATCAGAGGGGATTGGGCTTGTTCAGGGTAGCATGGTCATAAACTTGTTTTTTTTTTAGAGAAAGAAAATATAACACAAACTCAGCAAAGGTCCCTTTGTGCCACCTCAATCTCATACCCCTCTCTCCATTCTCAAGTTCTTCTGTATTCTTCTCAGCTGGGTCCTTAGAGTTCTATTATTGTCCCATATGTAAGCACATGAATATAGATGTAATGAGGATGTGTATTTTCCAGTTTATATTAATGATATAGAGTAGATATTGTTCTGCAGCCTATTTTTCTCACCCAATAGCATGTTTGCAAAATTTACCCAGGTTATACTTATAAATCCAAATTATTCATTTTAAATGTTGTATAATATCCCACTGTATAAATATAACTTATCCGTTATTCTAATAGAAGAATCTGGGTCTATCTCCAATTTTTTGTTGTAATAGACACTGCAATCATTATCTTTACACCTGAACCTAAGCATGAGAGCACATTTGTTTAGAATGGAATGGTTGAGTCTTAGGGTAAAAGCATTTTTAGATCTTATTAGATATTACAAACGTGTTCTCCAAAGTGAGTGTGCCAATTTACATTCTCACCAGGCGAGTGAGAGCACATCTGTTTCTCCATGCCTCCAATGCTTAGTATTACCATTTTTTTTTTATTTTTGCCACTCTCAAGGGTGAGAAATTGTATCTATTTGTTGTTTAATTTGCATGTATGTGATTATTCATGAGTTTATTGGCCATTCCAGTTTCCTGTTCTGTAAGTTATTTGTCTTTCCTATTGTGCTGATATTTGCTGAGACGCTCGGGTCAGAAATTCAGAGTTTACCATTGAGAGGCTTCTACTAATATATATACTGGATTTTGATTTGTTATAGCAAGTATACACTGATATCTCTAAAGCCAGAGAGGCAGTACTTGGACTTTTTTTCTTTATGTATCGTCCATATAACTGTAAACATTTTGGATCACGGATTTCCATCTTGTCCTTCTGGCTGCAGCTCCCTAGATAAAATTGGTACATTTCATCTAAGCCTTAGCACTTACATGTGCTCCATGATATGGGGCAGAAAGTAAACAATAACATCCAGGAGCAGAGGCTGACAGTTGTACGAACTCCGGGCACACCATAATTTTACACTTCTCTTAATAAAACTTGTTTGCTATTTGTTTTTAAAGCCTTCGAGGCTTTGCACAAGCTGTTTACTCGATCAGCAATGTCCTTTGTTTTTCATTTTCTAGCAAATGTCTATTTCCCTCAGTACCCAGGAAAGGTCACCTAATGCATTTGTTCTGCTTTCTTCCAACACACTCCCCACATCCTTCCCAATATCCTGGCAATTAACTGTTCCCCTTTTTGTGATCAGCCAACCACCTCGAACGTTTACATTACAAAGGTAATTATCATACAGTTTCCTCCCATCAGTCTATGAGCTCCTGAGGGCAGGTACTGCCTTATGAGTCCTAGAATTCCCAAAGTGTACACTAGGGTCCAGCACATAATGCTGAATATCGGTAAAATAAGCCACAAAGTTTTCTTTCGGGGACATTGGGAGGAACCAAGAATTGTTTACGAAGCTTATTCGTCTTTGTACCCCGGTACTCAATATATTAAGTTCTAGCAAAATGGACTTAAATAATTAAAAGTGTCTAAGAATCTCAACAATGAAAGGAGACAAAGATTTGAGAAGAAGGCTGGAAACCCCATCTCATAGGGTGTGAGCTCGTGCAGGTCAAACTCACATTGAAACTTTGCACCTTGGGAAATCGACTCTCATTTCAGAAGTAATTTGTCAGATTTTAATGAATACTGACATTTACCTGGAATTAAGCTGGTTCAAAAGCAGAGATATTTAGGGAAAGCACAAGTTTTTCTATTGTACTCTCGGTAACAGTCCAGCAATTAGCGGTTAGCAAAAACGAACAAAAAACAAAAAACAACAAAAAAAGAAAACCCGAAGATTTAAGTAACCACTTTAAACTCTTGAGTCCAATACACGGATTGGTAAACACTAGTTTGCACACCATTTGGCCAGGCGACCAGGTGAGATTCCACAA